GTGTGTACATGTGCAGAGAAGAGGGAGGGTATTGAATATATGAACTAGAATGAATATGAAATAGATTGATAAATAATACAGTCAAGGTGCACACTAGATGTACTTATAGCATTACACATTGATTATGTAAACATATGAGGAAGAGTTTTCACAGAGTTATAAGTAGGAAAAGTCCTGAGGCTCTATTTGATCGCAAGTTAAACACCATCTGACAATGTGATTACTTCCTAAAAGAAGTTAATGTAATATTTGTCAGTTTCAAAATAAAAATAAGTTTCCTAAATATTTGTTGAGTTCTTTTGAAAGTAAACTACTTAACTAGAAAAGTATATTCAATTTTGAATTACAACTTGAAGAGGAATTTGAAGAAACTGTTGTATATTTAGTATAGGTAAACCAAGGCAGCATGAAGTGTGTTGACTATGGAAAAAGTAAGAAATAGATAGATATGTTGGAAAAAACCATAGAAATCATCATTAGAAGGGAGAAATGTTCTGTCTCTGAGAAGAAGGGGAACAATGGGAAAAATTAAGTGGAAAGATTTGGCTCACAATTATAATGTTTCTTAATAAAAGAATAGGGTATCTGGTTATATGCTGAGTGTCCTTTCCTATCAAATATTCAAACAAGCATATATTGGATAATCACCCTTAATGAATCTGTAGAGCGATTTCTGAGTCTGGTGAAATATTTGATACCCTGTCCACTAAATTTCTTCTATATATAAGGTTATTTTATTCCAAGTGAAAAATGGCATTTCAGGATGAAATCATCCCAGAATTGGGGGTGAAAATGTGCTCTAGAACAATTAAAATACTGATTATTTGGTAAGGGTGGGGCTGTATTCATATAAAAACAAGATGTGCCAGAAAGAAACCTGGAGCATGTTGACCTTGTCGGGTAGAGCACTAAAAACTTTTAGTATCTTCCTTATCATTTGGAAGTTAGGAAATTCATGTGCTACTTCTAATATTGTGTGCAATGAAAAGTTTTTGCTTCAAGTTTTGTGGCAAGTACAGGCTAAGTTTTCAAAAATACTATTTCTTTGTCTTCCTGGGCACACAGCTAGTCTACATTTCCAATCACTCTTACAGTTAGGTGTACTTATGTGACAGGGTTCTATACAGTGGAATATGAACACAAGTAAATGATCCTCCATGTGTCTTTCCAATTCCACAAACTGGATGGTGATGAACAAGACTACTTGGGCATCTTATGTGGCAGATATCGAGACACAAGTAGGAAGGGTTCTAGATGTCTGAATCACCACTTGGAGGTGAGCTTCTTAGTGATCAAGAATGCGCATTTTATAATTTTCATGAGTAAAGTTTATGAAATAAATAAAGTTAAATCAATAAATACATTTTTGTTATGTCTGAGTTATGATACCTGTGAGGAGAGTTTTGTTTTTTTTTTTTTTTTTTTACAGCGTACAATGTTACCTTCACTGATACAAATGTGCTTAGTGGTATTTTTATTGCTAAATTTTTATATAGTCTTAATTTGATGAAGGTTATTCTTATATCCCTATTCATTCACGCTTCACACATTCATGTAAACTCAATAAAAGCATGGTTTTTGGTGTTTGGTTTATTACTCTCAAATCAGTCCATAGAACAAGCCATGGATCCTAGTTGGCATGTGATGTATATATATATATATATATTTTTAATGACCTAGTAAATATTAGTGGTACTGATGAAATCATTCAGTGAAACAATATTTACCAAATATTTATTCCATGCATACTATGATCCAAGTACAGTTGACCCTCAGTGGCTCCACATCCGCTGATTCAACCAACTGACAATGAAAACATTTGGAAAAAAAGAAAATTCCAAAATGCCAAACTTGAATTTGCTGGGTGTCAAGTACCATGCTGAATCCACACTAATGAAATGTATAGGCATACCGTGCTAGAGCCTCCCACCATTTCACAGATTCTCAGTCTCTCTCCAGCACTCCTTGTTTGAGCATTGTTTGCCTCGTGTCTGCTCATTATTCCCTAAACAATACAGTATAAAACTATTTACATAGCGTTTACGTTGTATTAGGTATCATAAGTAATCTAGAAGTGATTTAAAGCATGTGGGAGGATGTGCATAGGTTATATGCCAATACTACGCCATTTTATACAAGGGACTTGAGCATCTGCAGATTTTGGTATTGGTAGGGGTCCTGGAAACAATCCCCACGGATACTGAAGGACGGCTGTACTCAGCTGAGACCATAGTTATGAATAAGCCAGACATGTCCAATTTTGCTTATAAGGCTTATAGAACAGTGAGGCAAAAACAATTAATGTATCAAAAATATTGCAAGAAAAACGTAAGGAGAGTTATGGCTGAAGAACTCTAGGGCACTGTAGGAAAAGGGGCTTTGCAATGTTGTAGTAGAAGAAGAAATGGAGAGACCGATTCTTGTTGCAGGGAGGAATTAATAAATTTAGTCATTTCTTCAACGTTGCAGATGAGGGAGAAAGAGTTGAAGATGCATTTCACATTTCTAGTTTGAACAACTAGATGATGTTAGTGACACCGACCGACAAAGGGGAAACTGGAAGAGAAGCAGTTGCAGGAAGAATGGCAAATTCAACTTTGAGTACATTTAAATAAAAGTGTATATGGGAGGTTTGAGTGAATATGTTCAGTGGGCACTTGAATAGAGAAGTTTGGGACTCAAGTGGTTATTCAGGATTTGAGACACCAATTCAGAATTTGTGGAGTATATACACAGATAATGAAGCTATGGAAACTAACGAGACTGTTAAAGCAGAAGAGATTTAGAAGAGATCAAGGCATAGGAAAGATTTCTTTGAATTATCCATTGCCCCTTCACCCTGGGTTCACTTCATGGATCAGTAGTTAATATCAGGGAAGCTGGGGTGCAAAGAAGATTCTTCCTCTGAAAACACCATTACCTGGTAGAAAAGGTGCCACTGCTGGCAAGTCTTGTGCATTAAAGTCATTTCCAGATTGGAGACCTGAGGAAATATGAAGGATTTATCCTTAAAATCGTCACTTATCACCTCTGAAGAATGTTGCCTTACCTTACTGAAAATTCTTTCCACTGGCCTGATGATAATTGTACCTGTCCAAGGTGTGACTCACCTGAAACCAAACTCTTCACTGGGAAACAAAAGCCTCTACACAGTGATCGAGTGGACAGTTATTTAACACTTGAGGTAGAACAAAAGAATGTTTGGAGGTAACTGTGTTGACCTCTGCTTTCTATGATCAAAATGGAATTGAGACATAATCAGCTGTAGAATCAATAAATCTCTTGATATGGGTGTTTCATGGTGGTTCCTGAGGTGACCACTAGTGCATAACAGGTGTGTGCAAGTGAAGTTTTCCACCTCAGAGCTGAATTGGGCTTTGGAGAGAACTATAAAGAAAAGGCCCGTATGCTGGGCACCTAGCCTTGCCAGGATTTATCACAGCAGCAAATGGTGAGGTGGCCTGCTCAAAAAACTAGCTCAAAGTTTCAGATGAATTAATTGGTGAAGTTGTCCCAGGACCTTCTTTAGAGTCTGGGAATTGTGAGGTTAATGGAAATGCTGGAACTCACAAAGTCTTTCAATCTGCTTTTGGGAAGAGAAGTTTATTAGGAATGTCTCCTTTACCCTAGAATCACAGACACTGATGAAAAGTCACTAAAATTTCCCCAAAAGGTTCTGAAAATATTTGTTTCATATTTATTCACCATTAATATTAATAAATCTCCTTTGATCTCCAACCCAGGCTCATGAACCATGAAAATCCTCATGATCCAAAGAGATTCTTGACACATGGGTTAGATCATTTTATAAGTTTAATGCTATGCTGTCTGAGAGTTTCTGGAAAGTATTATGTAATCTTAAGTGTTTTGTATTCTGTTCCCCATTGCCTATATTATTTGTATTATTTCATGGTGAGCACTAATATGAAGAAGAGGAAGAAGAAGCAACTACCATGTACTGCTGTTATTTTGTGGTAAGCACTGGACTGGGCAGTTTAGATATTAGCTTATTTAATTGCTTTGGGATGTGCAACCAAGTTCAGAGCCTGACTGTCCACCAGAGCTTTTATCTCAACTGTGTGGACAGAAGAGCCATCCTTGGACAGGGCCATCGGCTTATTATCTCAGAGAGTTTAAGGAAATTTCCTAAGTGCCATAGAGAAGGAAATTGGTGGAGCCAGGATACTAAAACAAATCTGTCTTGCCTCTCATTCTTGGATCTTAATCACTAAGCTACTCTGCCAGTTGGCCCACAAAGGACATACTGCATTCATACATGTAATAGGTGCTCTGACTGAAGTCTCTGGAATCTTCCAGGCAAAGGCAATCTGCCTGTTATTAACATATGCCCTACTCTCAAGAGGATAACACCGGAAATCTTTAGTTATACTTCTTTTTTTTTGCATAAAATCGCCTAAACTATTGTTAATTTTTCCTCTGAGATCCTTATTCTTTATGATTGTCTATTTCAAGAAGGATAAGAGTTGACATGCATTTTATTTAGGGTTTTTTAAGAATCTCAATATAAACACACTCACCTAAGAAATTTATTCCAGAAACATTTAGAATTAACAAATGAGGAACACTACATGTCTTCATTTCACAGTACCAGTTGAAGACAAGATTGTTACAGACCAAATATTGTCCATGTCCCTGTCTCAAATGCATGAGAGTCAAGGAAAGTCCTCCAAAACTTCGAGTTCAAGTCTGTAATATGTAGTTTCCCCTGTCCTTCCCATTTACACTGCTGGGCTAAATTAACCATCAAAAATTTCAAGAGATTTTCCTGGAGGAGAGTGTGTTCCAGCAGTAGCATACATGTCAAGAAATGTCTTCTAGAAAGACCCTCCCATTAGAGTACATTCAGTAAGTACATCTAATTATGAAATACTGTGGTAATAGAAAAAAAATTGGCGAATGGATGAGAGGGAGGCAAAGCAATGACAAATCTGACTTAGGGGATCATTGTTTGATACCTAGAGAGACAGGACTCAGGTGTTAGAAATGTCTCAGTGGGTTGTGCAAATGCTTCTAGGATTCAAGGACTATGGCTTGAAAAGAATGTGGCAAAGAAGCAGCTTTGACTTTTTTACTATTAGTCTTCATTGTTATTGTTATTGTCTTCAATTTGGGTGTGGGACAGAGTGTAAAATAAGAAAGAGATTGAAGAAAAAACAAGAAATTACAAATAGATGGATAGAGATAGCATCTGCTATGCCAGTTTAGGCATACAAAAACCAAGCCTGCTGCCGTAGAGTTTACTGCAACTCATAGTGATCCCTTAGGGTTTCCAAGGTGTAGATCTCTACAGAAGTGTATTGCCACATCTTTCTGCCTCAAAGCTGTTGGTGTTTCTGAACTGCCAACCTTTTTGTTAGCAACAAGCGCTTTAATCACTATGTCACCAGGGCTCCTTCAGACAGGCATAGGCTTCACCTATTCTCTAGAAAACAGGCTACATGTTTTCAAACAACATCTACCTGCTTTGTAGTGGTTTTGGGAAGTACGACTGAGATCAGTGCCTGGCCATCCTCCAGAGCTTCCATCTTCACTGTGTATAGGGACTAAGGAGCCTTAGGACCAGCTCAGATGCCTGAGCCCCTGTGCGGGCCCACAAGAGAACTGGAGGTAAAGGGGCTGGGCCTCACAGAATGGTCCCCAGCATAGTACCATGAAAGTGGACAATCTTACCCAAAAGAAAAAACAAGAGGCAACTGGAGGAAAGAGTTCACTTAAACTCCTTCATTTTCTACAAATATTCCACTTAGTCTCTGAATGTTCCACCATCACTGGAATATAAATTCCTGCTGGAAACAAAAAAATTTAAGAATATGGTAAAAAGTATTTCATTACAACTGTGTGGTGGAAAAGATACACTTGAGGTCTTCATATCAGACAACGAGATACACGTGCCTAGACATCTCTGAATTTAGCAAAAAATACAAATTAAAACAAAAAATGATAATAATATGACTTGCCAGGGGACGGAGTGCAGGATGAAGTTTTCAGATTGTTCCCATAAACTTCAAAACATGAGCTACCAAGTACACAGGACAGCAAATGAGCTCGAATCAACAGAAGGAAACAGAGGACAAAGGAACAAGGAAGAAAAGCCAAAGAGATGGGAGACCTGAGATAGAACCACGGACAGAAATGGGTCCCTGAGTTCAGAGGCAAGGGAGTTGTCTGCACACTGACACAACTAATGGAGATATCAGATGTTCAGTTCAAGACCTACTTGAACTTTAATCTGAGTCATCGACCTTTGCTTACCTGAGCAGAGTCCCATCTTCTCTGCAAGGAAGGGGTCTGCTTCACAAATATGACTGATGCAAATCTCGCACGCCCGGCGCCCTTTCCGAATGACGGGGTCAATCAGAGCTCGGGCCTTTTTCATGTCTGTAGCATTTTCACGTCTTATTATCTCCATTTCTTCCTGGTTCAGCACTTTTTTTTCTAATAGTTCATCCAGCAAGCCATTTATTGTGCCCTCGTTCACTGCATGGATAAACAGCTTCCTCTTCTCCAGCAGGACTTTGTCTGTTGGAAGAATAAGGATTCCCTAAGTCCTGAAAACAGCCGAATTCTCTGCTCATGTCGGCATCAGGAAGTAATATCCTTTAAATTTAATCAGTTAAAAAAAAAAACACCTCTCACCACATAGGTCAGTAATCCTGAGGATAGAGAATTTTTTAATTCTACCCCGTCCCAAGGAGCCCTGGCGGCACAGTGATTAAAGCACTCGGCTGCTAACCAAAAGGTCAGCAGTTTGAAGCCACCAGCCACTCCGCAGGAGAAAAGATGTGGCAGTCTGCTTCAGTAAAGATTTACAGCCTTGGAAACCCTATGCGACAGTTCTACTCTGTTTTATAGGGTCGCTATGAATTAGAATCAACTCAGTGGCAGTGGGTTTGGGTGATTTACCCCTGTCCCATTTTCTTCCCTCATTATTACCCACATTTGCTCACTGAGTGGCCTGGAGACTGGGCTTTACTCTCCCTGAGTTAGCACCTGAGGATCAGAGATTCTTCTGACATGCCCTGTGTTTACTCAACCCCGAATGAGGCTGAGTGTTAGCCTGTTTCCTTTGAGGGCAACAGCGGCTGGTTCTTATCCTGGGCTCATTCTGCACCCTTAGTCAGGCTCATCCCATTTGAGAATTCAGTTAAGATTGCACAATGAAAGCCTGATATCAGTAAAGCCCCAGTTCCCTTTTGTCCCTTGATTTCCTCTTCATAAAGGCTGCAAAAGCATCTGGGCCCCTTTCCTCCTCTGTTTCTCTGCCCTCTTCCTTCCCTCTTTTCCCAATCTCTCAGTCTACTCCTACAAACATTCACAGAACCTAATTAAGGGTTCTGAAAAAGCCAACCCATTGCAAAAGTGATTTCTTCCTCAAGACATATCATTTTAGACAGTAAAAACCTAGACAGTAAAAACTCACCCGCCTCCATGGCTTTTCCCTCTCACCCTTGTTGTATGGTATGAAACTGAAAGCATCTTCTACCTTCCTCTTCAGACGGGGTGTGTATTCAGATTGAGAAATAACCACTATACATGCATATGTATGTCAGCTCCAAACTCCTGTACCCCCCACCCCTAGACAGAAATGCCAAAAAAACAAGAAAAAACTGGAAGAACTAACTTTGCCAGAGCCTGGAAATCAGGAAAATGTTTACAGCAACTAAGCCAATTCTAAATCAAGAAAGGGGCCTTCAAAATGGTCAGAAAGCTTTGGTTTTCTATGTGTCTGTGCTTTGCCCTCCATTAGGCTTAGCAGAAAGTTTAAAGCAGTTGCAGTTCACATTAAAAAGAAGAATGATCTCTACCACCACTGACTGCTCTGACAGGGATCTCAACAGAGGGTCCCGGACAGAGCTGGAGAAAAATGTAGAACCAAATTCTAACTCACAATAAAGACTAGACTCACTAGCCTGACAGAGACTAGGGAAACCCCAAGAGTATGGTCCTTTGACACCCTTTTAGCGGAGTAATGAAGTCACTCCTGAGGTTCACACTTCAGCCAAAGATTAGACAAACCCATAAAACAAAATGAGACTCAAGGGGCACACCAGCCCAGGGGCAAGGACTAGAAGGCAGGAGGGGACAGGAAAGCTGGTAATAGGGAACCCAAGATCAAGAAAGGAGAGTGTTGACATGTCATGGGGTTGTTAACCAATGTCATAAAACAATATGTATACTAACTGTTTAAGAAAAAGCTAGTTTGTACTGTAGACCTCTATCTAAAGTACAATTTTAAAAAAAGAATGATCTCAAACCAATAACCTACCTTAAACCTTAAAGAACTACTCAGCAATAAAAATAAAAGCAAACTAAACTCAAAGCTAGCAGAAACAAGGAAATAATAAATATGAGAGCAGAGATAATGAAATAGAGAATAGAAAAATTAAATCAACGTAAAGTTGGTTCTTTGAAAAGATAATAAAATTGACAGAACTTAGGTAGATTGCCAAACTAAAAAAAGAGAGAAGACACAAATAACTAAAATTAGAAATGAAAGGGGGCATTACAGAAAGTAAAATGATCATAGAATAATACTATGAACGATGTATGCCAACAAATTAGATAATCTAGATGAAATGGACAAATTCCTAAAAATGCCATCATAATTTCCTAGTGCTGCCATAACAACAACAACAACAACAAAATACCACAAATCGGTGGCTTTAAGTAATAGAAATTCATTGTCTCATATGATCTTCCCCCTGTGTGGGTCTGTGTCTATTTTGCTCTCTTTATAAGACACTAGTCAGAAATGATCAGGTTTAGGACGTACTCTACTCTTCTATGGGCTCATTAACCTAATGAAAGAAAATTCCAATTTCCAAATATGGTCATATTTACAGGTACAGAGATTTGGACTTTAACATAACTTTTTGGGGGGCACTATTCAATCTAAAACATGTACAAATTACCTAAATTGACTGAAGAAGGAATGGAAGATCTCAACAGACCTCTAACAAATAGAGATGGAATCAGTAATCAAAAACCTGCCAACAAAGAAAAGTTCAGGACAAGATGGCTTCACTGTTGAATTCTACCAAACATTTGAAGGAGAATTACACTGATCCTTCTCAAACTCTTGCAAAAAATAAGGAGGAAGGAGTATCTCCTGACTCTTTCTATGAGGCCAACATTATGTGATACTAAAGCTAGACAATGACACCACAAAAACATAAAACTACAGACCAACATTTCTTATGAGTATAAACACACAAATCTTCAACAAAATTCCATCAAACAAAATCCAAGAGCATACTAAAAGGATTATACCCCATGACCAAGTAGGATTTATTCCAGGAACGCAAGGGTAGTTCAACATAAGAAAATCAATCCATGTAATACAACACATTAATAGAACAAAGGAAGAAACAAAGCAAGCAAACAAACAAAAACACATGATACAATGCATAAAAGGCATTTGACAAAATCCAACACCCTTTCATAATAAAAACATTCAGCAAGCTAGGACTAGAAGGGAAACTCAACATGATAAAGAGTATGTATGAAAACCTCATAACAAACACCATGCTCAATGGTGAAAGACTGAAAACCTTACCCCTAATGGGTTCAAATACAGCAATGATTGTGAGGATGGTGCAGGACCAGGCAACGTTTCATTCTATTATGCATGGGGTCACTATGAGTTAGAATGGACTCTATGGCATCTAACAACAACAAGATTAGGAACAAGACAGAAATGTCTGTTTTCACCACTGCTATTCAACATTCCCTGGAAGTTGTAGTCAGAGCAATTAGGCCATAAAAGGAAATAAAAGGCATCCAAATTGGAAAGGAAGAATTAAAACTATTTCTGTTCATAGATGACATGTTCCTATAATAGAAAATACTATAAAATCCATGTGAAAGCTACTGGAGCTCATAAATGAATTCATCAGATTTGCAGGGTACAAGGTCAACACTGAGAAATCAATTGAGTATCTATGTACTAGCAATGAGAAATCTGAAAAGGAAATTAAGAAAATAATTCCATTTGCAATAGTAGCTAAAACAATAAAATACCTAGAAATAAATTTAACCAAGCAGGTGAAAGACTTGCACACTGAAAACTATAAAACATTGCTGAATGAAATGAAAGGGGCCCTAAGAATGAATGTGAAAGCTGGACAATGAATAAGGAAGACTGAAGAGGAATTGATGCCCTTGAATTATGGCGTTGGTGAAGAATATTGAATATACCATGAACTGCCACAAGAATGAACAAATCTGTCTGGGAAGAAGTACAGCGAGAATGCTCATTAGAAGCAAGGATGGAGAGACTTTGTCTCATAGACTTTGGACAAGTTAGCAGGAGAGACTACTCCCTGGAGAAGGGTATCATGCTTGGTAAAGCAGAGGGTCAATGAGAAAGAGGAAGATCTTCAATGAGATGGATTGACACAGTGGCTGCAGCAATGGGCTAAAGCATAACAATGATCATAAAGATGGAGCAGGACCTGGCAGTGTTTCCTTCTGTTGTATATAGGTTACCTATGATTTGGAACTTTTCCTCTACCTCTCTAGTTTTTTATCAGTTTTGTGTTAGCCCTATGTTATGGATTGAATTTTGCCCCAAAAAATATGTGCCATAATTCAGCTAGGCCATGATTCCCAGTATTGTGCACTTGTCTGCCATTTTGTGATTTTCCTATGTGTTGAAAATCCTATCTCTATGATGTTAATAAGGCAGGACTCAGTCTACAAGATTGGGTTGTGTCTTGAGCCAATCTCTTTGAGATATAAAAGAGAGAAGTGAGCAAAGAGACTTAGGGACCTCATACCACCAAGAAAGCTGTGCCTGGAGCAGAGCATGTTCTTTAGACCTGAGGTTCCTGCACGGAGAAGCTCCTAGACCAAGAGAAGATTGGTGACAAGGACCTTCCTCTAGAGCCAACAGAGAGAGAAAGCCTTCCCCTGGAGCTGGCACCCTGACTTTGGAGTTGTAGCCTCCTAGATTGTGAGAGAATAAATTTTTCTTTGTTAAAGTCATCCACTCATGGTATTTCTGTTATAGCAGCTCTAGATAAGTGAGCTACCATATGAGAGGATTTAAGATGTTAACTCCTCTATTATCTGAAAGTGTTTATATAAAGTAGAACATATCAGTTTCTTAGAAGCTTTATAAAAACTTTCTTTACAACAATTTAGACCTGTTTAAAAATTTGGGGTTGATTTGAACAAAATTTTTTTTAAAATTTGTTTAACGTTTATTGATTCATTTGGCTTTTTATTTCTTTTTGTACTGATTTTGTGAATTTATTTTTTTCTGGAAAATTGTCCATGTATTTCATCATGTAATGTACAGTATTCTTGTGCTTTTTAAAATATATATATAGTTTATTTCTTTTTATGACATTTGTTTATGTATAATTCTTTGTGCTAACTCTGTTTTTCTTATTAATAACCTTGCTAAATGTCCAATATTTGATCTAATTTCATTTTTTAAAAATCTTTATTTTTTGATTTCTTCTATTTTATTAGTTTATTATTTTCTCCACTTCTTTAGTTGAATGCTTAGTTCATACATTTTTTTCTTTTCTTGTTGCCTATGTGTGTATGTCTCTGTGTGTAGATATATATATACATCTCCAACTTTTTGGAAATTTGGGGAAGTATTTATATTAATTGAGTTTCTAATTTTAATAGTTGTCAGAGAATGTGGTCTGTTTAATATGTACTTCTGGATTCTTTGTGAGGAGTCTCATGTTTTCACATGGTCAGGCTAAGCCCAGACCTATAAACAGCACAGATCTTTGCAGTGTTACTTAACTCTTTCAATCCAGACTGTCAGTCTGTCTTTGCTTCAGAGAGGCAATGAAGGACAGTGTATAAAAAAAAGGGTCCTGAGTGTTCGAATCTCGGTGTGGTCACCAACTAGCTGTGTAACTTTGAGTAAGTCAGTTAAGTTTTATATTTTGTTTGTTTCATTATCTATAAAATGGATATATTTAATAGTTATAACTTAATTGAGTTGTGAGGATTAAACTAATTGCTTATATATAAA